TTCCCAAAGTGCCAGGCTTGTTTCCTGGAGGTAGAAGAAAAGACAAAAGCAGAGACGGAGACACTGGAAGGGAAGGGAGGAGGATAGTTGTGACTGGGGGACAGTGGGGAGAAACAGCTAGAAAAGAAGCTGGGGCTGTGTGATGAGAGACCTACTGATGGTGAGGAAGATCCACAGATGCTGGAAGGGAGGAATGGGAGAACTTAAAGAAATGTGTGAGAAGGGAGGGAGGGAGAGAAAAAGGAAGGGGGGAGTAAGAGAGATCGATGCAGAGAATGGACTAAAGGCCAAGGGGCCCAGGGAGCTGGGGGCAGAAGAACTAGCTGTGGAGACCCCATTCCGGGCAGTGTAGGGGGCGGGCCTGCTGGCAGAAGCAGAGGCTGTTTCCGCTGCACCCCTTATCAGCCTACTGCCAGATGTTCAGATCCGATGCCAATGTCAGAGAAGTCCATAGTGCTGGGTCAAGGCCATGGCCAGCAGGAGCCTCAGCTGCATCATGCGGGGGGCTGGGGGCCTTCTCTAGACCTGCTGGCTTTTCCTCCTCCTGTGGCTCACCAGGCTGGACCACCTGGTGAGGGTGGGAAAGACCAGGTGCTTCCAGGGGGCTACTTCTTAAGGCGGAGAGCCAGGGACTTGTGGAGGTAGTGTCTGGAGACTGGCAACATGTAGATGTGTGTGCTATTGCCCCCCCCCCCCAACACACACACACACAATCCCCCACACAAAGTACAGAATCACATGGGGACAATTTGGGGTTCATTTCAGAACCGTCCACCTCAGTACCTCTCTGTGTCCCAACCTGCTCCAGCTCCTGCTCTGCATAATGCTTAGTGCCCACCCCTCCTTCCCATCCCCCCAACTTGAGCCAAGACTGAAGCCAGAACTGAAGTGTCTCTTGGTAGCTGGTGCTGTTCCCAACATATGCTCTTAGAAGCTGCATGCCCTCCAAGGACGGCAGGGCCAAAGGGACCTGGGACCTTCTAGAATGAAGCCTGGTGGAGCCCCTCCAGGCATGGGCAGGTGCTGGTACTGGGTGTTCAGTGGTGCTGAACCTCCAGCCTTGGGCCTGGGCTTCTCTGCCATGCTCCTGGAGCGTGCAGCGCAGCTGTAGCCCCTTCCTGGGGCAGCTTATCTCAGAGCGCACACGCTTGGCCCTCAAGAGGTGACCCAGCCTTGCTCCCCACATTCCTGTCCAGTTCTGCAGCCGGTAGGCCCCCCACAGCTCTGAGACTAGGCCTGTGCTTTGTGGGTAGTCAGCTGCCACTCAGCTGTACCCCTGCTCTCTTGGACCTTACCGCCTACAGTCACTGTAGGTATCCCTTGGCTTTCTCTGTTTTCTCTGTCTTGATGAATCTGTTTATTCCCATATCTTTCTCTTGGATTGCCCCAATTTGTTTCTCTCTGCTACTTTCAGTGTTCTAGTATGTTTCTTTGCTTTTTCTCCAGGGTCCTTAAGAGAGACCAAATTTGGGGACACCTCTGCTCTTCTGACTCAGTGATCATCCTCAATGGGAAAGTACATGAAAAGTTAGACCGTGGTGAGGGGAACCAAAGGGCCTGGGAAAGGGGATGCCTGTCCTGAAGCCATGGGGTGACTGCAGCAGGATACATTTAGGCCCTCTTTTGACCACCTAGGAAGCCATCCCCCGTAGGTACACAAACCAGGATCTGGTGGGCTGCCCCATGCAGTAGAGAAGGCTGGGGTTGGGGGAGGGAAGGAAACTGGGGCTGGAGGTCTTGGCCTGAGGACCTCCTTCCTGTTTGTAGGGAAGTGACTGCCTCAGAAAGCTGCTGGGGGAGAGGAGGGAGGCCATGGTGACTTCCGGGAAGCTAGCCAAGAGCCTGAGGCCACCCTCCCTGTGCCCACATGGGGCCCTCCAGTCCTGGCTTAAAATAGTGCAACTCCTCCATTGATGTTGGATCTAGCCTGGACCTTGAAGGGCTGCAGCAATGATTTGTGCTGCTAATAGGCTCTCTCTCTCTCTCTCTCTCTTTCTTTCCCTCTTTCTCTCTCTCTTTCCTCTCTCTCTTTCTGTTCTTGTTTTTTGGTGTGGGTGTGTGTGTGTGTGTGTGTGTGTGTGTGTGTGTGTGTGTACCCAGCTACCTAGTCCTAGATAGACTATGGCCTAAGGCTATCCTGGCCACAGTGAGAAAAACCACAGATCTCAAACCTAAAGCCTAGGATGCAAGTTTCAGCTCCTGTGCTGATCAGCTTTGAGACCTCTGTCTTGTGTCTGCCTGGCTTTCAGTCAAAATGAGACAGTGACATGGCCACCACTGAGCCTTCCAGGGCACAAAGTGGATGTTCAGAATTGGGCAGCTCCTGTTGGCTGTGTGCTTCCTTACTGCACTCCACTATTCCTACATGCTCTTAGGACTGGGTGCAGAGCAGGGAAGGCTTGTGGAGAGGGAGCTTGCAAGGAGGGCAAGGATGGGGCTGTGGTCTCCATGGTGAGACTTGTTGCCAAGGGAACAAAGTCTCCAGGAGCCCTGGGTCTGGCAGTTGGGCACTTTTGCCACAGGAGCTGGCAGGCTGATTGTTACTACACCCAAATTCTTGATGGGCAGCCAGGCCAAGGCCAGGTGGAGCAGAGAGGAGGCTCCTGGCTTTGCTGGGCCTATGCTGTTGAGGTGGAGGGGGTGTAGCTTCAGCACAAAGCCTCCTTGTATGGATAGACTTCAATAAGCCCTTAGAGTTAGCCACTGTCATTCATAAATTCCTGAGCCACAGGTACCATCCTCTACTGATGGACAGGGCAAAGTGGGGATCACAGAGGCATCTATCTGGGTCAGTGTTAAACACCAATGTGTAAGGGATGAGCGGAGACCCCTTGTTGATGCTCCTCCTGTCTCATCTCACAGTTGCCAAGGGAAGTAAACCTTAGAAAGGATTCCTTGCAGCCAGACCACCCTAATTCCATCACCCTCCCCTGCCTTCAATTCTGGATGTTTCTGGCTTCACTGATGGAACCTGAAGCATGCAGCTCCTACAGCTGGTTACACAGAGACATCCTCATCTCCAGCTTGGTGAGCTCAGTGGACACACTTTGAATAGGCACGAGGCACTCATTTCTATTCACTCGTGAGTGTTCCCTAGTTAGGTCACTTACATAAACTACCCTCTCTGGGCTTTTTCAGTTTTCTTATTTGTAAAATGGGATTACCTCAGCACAAACCTTACTGGATTGCTCTGGGGAGTAAGTGACCTCATGCATGTCACTACAGTCTATGCCTACGTCACTTATTTTGGTGCTGCAACTGAACCTGTCCATTCTTCCTAGACTATAACCTCCTACACAGGGAGCTCGTAGCTTACCATTACTTAAGAAGCCACTTAGGTATTTACAAAGCACTGTCTGACATTTTATCCCATGGAATGCTGACCTAACAGAACTTTCATTGAAAAATAAGTAAATCTGATGTCAACCTGGTCAGGCTAAAAGGTAAGACTTCTCACAGCCTTGGCTATGCAAAGGAAGCTTGGGAATCTGGGAGGAAAATAGAGTGTGGCTTTTCTTCAGTTTCTGGCCACAGACTTTCTTTTTATTTTTTTTCCTTCCTTTTTTTTGGACAGAGCCTTCACAAGTGGCTATGTTCACAAAAATCATATAGACTGTTTGCCTGTGGTACCCCAGGGGCACTGGGGGATGTCACTGCTTTTTAGCCCAATTAGGCTTGGTCTGTATATACAGTTTACAGGATCAATCTTCTATTGTTTGGTTTGTTTTTGAACAGAGAAAGGTTCAACCAAAGGCTGTTCATTCCTAAGCTGTTACAAACCCCATTTGTGCTCAAAACTGCTGAAGGAGCAGGGAGGAAGCTGTTGTAACTTTGGTATCAGATGGACCTGGATTCAAAAGCTAATTCTGCTGCTTGTTCATGTGTCATCTTAGGCAAAACTTCCCTGAGCCTGTTTGCTTCAGAGAATAAGGATTGACAGGGCGTGGTGCAGGTGGTTATAGGGTGCAGCTGTCACTAGGCAGCCAGTGCACTCCCTTCTTGTGCCTGTTTCTATCTGCTCCCTCTTGAAGACAGCCTATTACCTCTTTCTGTGGTCCCTTTGTTTCAAATCACCTCTTTCAAGCCTCAAGGGCTCTTTGGTACCTTGTGCTGGGCATGGAGCATAGAAGGCAGCTGGGTGTCCCTGTTTCATGCAGAACAATTTAATAGAGTGAGGAGACTCCTCTGGCCTTTATCTTGTCATCTAGGAGTCTCCCTCTGTCTTTACAGAATCACCCAGCCTGAGTGTGTGAGCAGGATCACAAGATGGCTGGGCTGTGGGACTAGTAGGTCTGGGTTCAACACTCTCTCTGTGTTGCCTCTGGCCATGTCCCTTAACTTTTTAGTCACTATTTGCTCACATCCTAATATATCTCCTCCTTGGTTTTCTGGAGTCACCAAGCAGGCAAGGCAGGCCAGCATCATCCAGCACACTGCTGTCACTGATACAGCTGACACTCAACAGATAGATGGACTTCTCCCCAACTCCCAACTCCTTCCAGTGGTGCTCCAGGGCCCAATGGCTCCCCCAAACTCAACGTCTTGCTAAGTTCTTTTGTTTTATGGGATCTTGGAACAAGCTTCTGTGGTACATAGCTCTGACCCTGGTGACCTTCAGAACCAGTCTCATCAAGGAAGCCCCCCACCCCTTTTGTTTCTTACTATCTGTCCCCATCCCAAGTCATAGCACTCTCCTCACAGTACTTCAAAGTTCTATGTATATCCCACCAGGCTATCCCCTAATTGTGCAAGTCTTCATACCATTCTCAACTTTATTTTTTTCATTTAAAAAATGAAGCAATAGTCCTTGAACTCACTGTGGTCTAAGTTTATGGAAAAGCAACACAGTGCCCAGCAGGCACTGAGATTCTGGAGCAGAAGTTTTTCTGCCAGGCTCTCTGCAACAGAAATAGATGGTGTTGGTTACAAGCAGGAGTCCATGCCTCAGGACACTGGGACATCCCTCCCCCAAGCCCCAGATAAGCTTCACAGACAGATGGTATGTGCAGAGGATTCACATTTATTGGTTCAAATACAGTACCTAATGCTCGCTAAACATGCATTTCACACTAATTGGTCACATTTCCACAGGTAGTCAATTCACAGAACAGGGCCCACCCCTTGCCAGCAGGCAAGTGTGGGAGGTAGCAGAGGGCCTGAGTAGCCTGTAGAGCCCGCCAACTATCATTTGGTCATGCAGGGTTGATGGAGCCAGGCTGGCAGGCAGCCCTTGGCCGGCCCTTTGGGAACAAGGGCTCAGAGACATCCTATTCATTCGATTCCTACGTAGGACCGTGGGATGACTGGGAGGTAGCCTGAGGTAGGCTCATGATGCACTTGCCATCAAAGCCCCTGAAATCCAAGCTATGGAGGTCAGAAGGCCTCTTCCAGGGGAGGCTTGTCCCTTGCTGGGCAGGTGGAAAGAACTCCCCAGACACTGCTCAGACAGTACAATACAGCCACAAGCCCCTATCACAGGCCACACAGACAAAAACACTTAACAACCAGGGTTTCGTTCCCAACAGAAACATGTAAACACATGGGAGCTATTCTTTTCCCACAGACTCCTCAGAGGGGAATCCATCAGGATGTCACTCAAGAGGTAGTTTGTTTTTTTTTTTTTTTCATGGAAATTTGAGTTAAAAACATTATCACCTATTATATTTCATCTAAGAAAAAGGTCATCAAAGAGCAAGAGAACCCTTTGGCAGGGCTGGCTTCAGGGTTTGGAAGACTAACTTCCACCAGTAGCACATTTTTCTTGGGTTTGGAGCAGGCCCTGGCCTTTCCCACAGCTTCCATTTAAGCCTACATCTGATAGCCAAGCAAGCTGGGGTCTATTTAGGACTACAAGCCAAGAAGAGGGCTTGTCCTGGGCAGAAGGGCCAGACTTCCTATGAGCACCATTGAGGCTCATGTGTAGGATGGTCAGTAGTTTTGAGGAAGCCCAGACCTAGCCAAAGAGGCAGCTTGCTTCTAGCTCAGTAGATTGGGGCTGCTCCCTCTGAGGAAGTGGTCAGGGTTTGACTCTCAAGTCCAGGAAAGATGTCACTTGTGGCAGCCAAGAGCAGGCTTTCTGGGGACCCTGTAATTAAATACACATCCCTGAGCTGTGGCCCCAGAAGTGACTGCTTCAAGGCTGACCGGTTTCCAGCACCTGGTGGGATGATTGCCATTTTTCATCCTAAGACACAGATAAAACACTTCATGGACACTGGGCATGAGGAAAAGGGAGGAGGACCAACGGCAAAGGGGCATGCGGGTATTCCCATGGACCAAGGTGGGGGAGTCAGTTAGTGGGTTGTCTTTCTAAAATTTTAAGAAGAAAAAAAAATCAAAGCTCAATAGAAGGGCTTGTCTGAAGGGCTGAATTTCTTAAAAACTGCAAAAAAAAAAAAAAAAAGTAATAAGGAAAGACCACAAAGAACAGTATTCCAAAGACAGAAACATAGAACGTCTGCTCAGCTTTCTGCTCTGTGGGAAGCCAGGGTCCTTTACTTTGGCTAGTCTTAGCCACAACTTAAAGACTGCCTGTGGTCTATGTGTCTCATTATTCAGGAAGTCAAGAACAAGTAAGAGAGGTGCAAGACAGGAGGCTAGACAGCTGACTCAGACCGTGTGGAGTGGGCAACTTTGGTTGATGCCTCTTTGTTCTCCTACCCCTCCTGGTTCTACCATCAGCCCATCAGGATGGGGAGGTTCATTCATGCCCGCTTCAGCCGTAGGGTGGCCCTGGGGACAGGGTGTCCTGAGCCAGTTGGAGTGATTTGAGATGAGTTGTAGGGAATTTCTACAAACTAAGGGTGAGACCACTAAACCCTGCAAAGGACACTGAAGGTCTACAAAAGGAGGCAGAGAACATGAATTACAAAGCTCCAAGACTCCAAACTTTTGTCTTGGGTCAAGCAAACACATAAGAAAAGGAAGGGGAAGCCTGTAATGATTTTGACATGATGCAAGGAGATGGATTCTCCTTTTCCACATGTATTTTTTATGGTGGAAAAAAGTCTCACTCAAAGTGAGTACTTTTAGTGGCCAGGATCAGAGAGGACAAAAGAGAGAGGAATGAGAGATAACGTGCACACATTTTTCCTTCTTCCACTAGCAAAAAGGCCGCCTGTTAACCAAACATTATGGGAAAAAAGGCAAAAACAAGCACACCAAACCTCCCCCTCCAACCTTTCTCTGTGTCCTTCAAACCAAAATCACAAATACATCTAGTGGCTGACCTAATGTCTCCACACTGCCAGCTACACTCCTACCTTCTCCTCATAACACCTGAGTTTGCAATGCAGTACATTCACTTTACCCTGTTTTAAAAGAAGCCCATGTCAGAAAAAGACTGGGTGCAGAAGACATTAAAGGCAGTCCACAGGTCAGGCTCCAGCTCAGAACACACAGCCACTTGGCTCAGAGATTCTGCAGGGCTCTTGGCAATGAATGGGCTCTTTGTTCTGTGGAATCTGCTGCAAACATTTGTAAAAATGGATTTGTACAATGGCAACTTGCAGAACCTTTCCCCCACTCTACAGATTAACAACTTGCTCTGTTTAATACTACATTATTGGAGAGACATGTTTTTGCCTCATCAGAGCTTTGACAGTCAACACATCAGGTAAATGCTAATTTGAAAAGCAATTTCAAAAACTAACAATTTGACAAATGGAGGTCTAAGCAAAGAAAGCTGCTGCACACAGGCTGTCTCTAAGAGGTTGTCTCTGATTTCCAGCTTGAGGAAAGTAGCCGAGACTCTGACCTGGAGCCAAAGAATGTGGTCTGCTTCATTAAATACAAATATTCATGCAATCAAGAAAAATATTGTGAACTTAGAAACAAACAGACACATCAACACATACAAATCTTCCCACAACATGTGAAAAACATTCTGTTTGGAACCTTCCTGAGGAACACATCTCTTTTTTTTCTTTCTCAGAGAGGCGGGGAATAAGACTGAGACGTAATGCTCTGAACTTTGGACATCGAGGGGCATTAGGTGTCACTTTGCTGGTACCTGTAACATTTTACTAGAGAGAGAGAAGCTCTAGTGAAGACTACCTAGGATACACAAGATGTGGTAGCCTTCTGGGTAAGTGAACTAGGCTTCATTGGGAGTAAACAGTTCCTGACCAAACAGGCTCAAGGAGATACTGTGGGTGTGGCTTGCCAGCCAAGGGAAGCAGCCAGTGAAGCATCCATCTGGGGACTGGCTGTAGTTAGGCATGGTGTGGGCAAAGGAAGTAAAAGCAGCTAAAACAACTCTAACACAAACTTGGTGTAGTCCTGGCCAAAGCCTGGAGGGCAAGAATTCTTCCTAGAATTAGGTGGGGCAGGCAGTAAAGCAGAAGGGCTCAGGCTGCATCTGCAGAGGCAGTAGGAAGCCCTTAAACACATGAGGTAGTTTAAAGCCCCTTCCCCTTCCAGGTACTTCTGGCTCCATCCCTCCAGGCCTTGGTAGACCAGACCACTGATGATAGTTGAAGGAAGATCTGGGCTTCTCTGAGTCTTGGCTTTCTGTTTAAGAACCCTAGTAAATTGATCTCATTTTGGAAATAATAAGAGAACTTACAACAAAATTTAGGAGCCAAGTCTCTGGTTCTTTCTACTGTTTAAAAATGTCAATGTTAGTCAGGTGGTGGTGGCACACACCTTTAATCACAGTACTCGGGAGGCAGAAGCAGGCGGATCTCTGAGTTGCTAGTCTACAGAGTGAGTTCCAAGAAAGCCAGGCTACACAGAGAAACTCTGTCTCAAAAAAAAACCAAAATCAAAACCAAACCAAAAGAACAACAACAACACAAAATATAAAAACAAAACAAGTTTTGGATTTGGTTCTGAGGATAAGGTGGGGTGAAACAGGGGCTTCCACAGGAGTCTATTCTGTCAGCAGCCTGGCCTTTGTCCCTCTATCCTTTGAGGGAAACAAGTGAAAGGAAAACAAATCAGAAATGGTATCCAAATTCAGAACAGGGCATTTTCCTGTCACATTTCTAGAGGACAAGGAGTCAAATTCACAGGAGAGAGGGATGGAGTTTGAAGAAGGTAGGCCTTGGTAGATCTGGATCAGGAAACTAGGCAGCTGTGAGCCCCAAGGAAGCTGGGAGGCAAGTCCTACATACTGATTTATTGTCAGGACTCTGCTTGGATGAAAAATTGACAGCAGCATTCAACAGACAACAGTGTGTGGGGCGGAAGGGGTGTAGCAGAAGGCAGGAGCCCTTTGAGCTTGTGGGATGAGGTGATTGCTAATCTTCATCAAACATTGAAGAATAAGATGAAAATTGCCTGTAAAACGTCCTGCCTGCCTCTATAGTACATCTCCCTATATCATTTTGATCATTTGGCATACTCTTTTGCTTAGTAAGTCTGTGGCTATAAAAAGGCAGTTTGTTCTCCATCAGACAAGTGTACATCTGTTAAGAAATTGTGGAAAAGGTAGAGATGGTCATATCCCTGTTTCCATTGAGGTAGTTGTCTTTGTCAATATTATGGAAATAGTGGTCTAGTCCATCCCACCCTCTCCCTCAAAATACAAAAGAACTATCTCTAAACAATGACAACACGGTAACATTAAACATCTTCACATTCTGTAAACGGCAAGGAAATGCATCTGCTGCATTCACACAAAAGCATGTGCATCATGTTGAAGGCCATACATTCAACTCTGTCGTGAAATAAATATATAGAAAATGAGGTTAAAAACAGACAAACAAACACATTCTTCTTGTGATGGAGGGGCTGCCCCACAGTCTCCATCTTGGTCTCTCTGGCTCTTTCTTCTGGAGCCTGTCCTGCCACCCATGGCACTGCCAGCACCTGAGGCAGTGCAGGGGACAGGTCACTCCTTCACTGTACTTGTCTTGCAGGAATGCAGCACCACCTTAAAGAGGAGGGGCAGCTGCTCCAGGGGCACATTCACCATTTTTCCTAGGTAAAGGGAAGAAAGGACATTAGCAGCAGCTACTAGGGAAGGAAAGACTGTCTTGTCTCCTCTCAGGCTGCTGGGTCTCCTTGGTGTAGAACAAGTGCAGGACAGGTAACAGGAGTACCACAAAGGTCACAAGGGTTAGATAATGTCAGGGTGTCTAGGCACACTCTTCCATCTGCTACACTGACTATGTGCCAGCCAGTTCAAAGCATTGTCTTATTTGGACTCATAATGATTTTTGTGATTGCTTTTTACTCCATTTTATAGCTGAGGACCTGAAGTGGAGAGGGAGTGTACTAAGCTCTTTGTAGCTAAAATACTAGAGGAAACTTGCTTCCTACCAACTCTTTAGTATTCTATTAATCTCTGCTCTCCAAAACAGAAAAAAATGATTAACGAAAGTAATAGGGAAGTAAGGAGAAGAGTTACAGGGGCAAATACAATTGAAATGTCTGGAGATAAAAAGAGTTGGACAGGTCCCGTCCCCCCCCCACTGTTGACTGCTCAAAGCATTAAGCGCACACACATAGTGTAAGCAAAACATCTAAGGCTGTAGTTCTCCTTGACAGTACCTTAGAGTCACCTGGAGGGCATTAAAAAATATTGATGCCTGGACTTCTCCCCATACCAATGAAGTTGGAATGTCTGGAGATGTAAAAAAGAAGGAAAAAAAGCTTTCCAGGTGATTGGAAACACTGCCAGGTCTAGCTTGTTAGATTGCTCTATGGCTCAATAAATAGAGGAAAAAAATCTGTCAGACTGACATGTTTGTTGTGGGATATTTGCATATTGTGTGAAGATATGTTGTGATTGGTTTAATAAAGAGCTGAATGGCGAAGAGCTAGGCAGGAGGCATAGGTGGGACTTTGGGGCAGAGAAAGGAGGTAGGAGGAGATAATTGAGGTGCAAGGGAGATGCCAACAAGACATGGAAGGAGTCAGACACACAAAAATGAAAGAAAGGCAAAAAGCCATGAGGCAAAACATAGATTAATACAAATGGGCTAACTTAAGTTATAAGAGCTAGTGGGACAAACCTAAGCTAAGACCGAGCTTTTATAATTAATAAGTCTACATGTCGTTATTTAGGGCTGGCGGGAGAAAATCCCATTACACGTTTTCCTTCAAAAATTGTATTACTGAATTTTACAGAAAAAAATCCCAGTCTAAACATCATCACCCAGGGCCGGACGTTGGTGGCGCATGCCTTTAATCCTAGCACCCGGGAGGCAGAGGCTGGCAGATCTCTGTGAGTTCGAGGCCAGCCTGATCTCCAGAGCTAGTGCCAGGATAGGCTCCAAAGCTACACAGAAAAACCCTGTCTCGAAAAACAACAACAAAAGAAAAAAAAAAAACAAAAAACAAAAAAAAAAACAAAAAATCATCACCCTAGTGGGTGTTGGACATTGAAAACAGGGATCCTCACTATCTGAAGTAAAACAACAACAAAGGTTATGTGTTGAAACAGACCTACTGTCAGGAGCTTAGCAAAGGGCTCAAGACATAGACAAAATTGCTTTGTAAGCATAGGAGCTTAAAGGTACCATTTTATATGGCCCTGGAAAGAGTATGTTCAATTCTAGGAAACATAGTTTTTAAAAACTGGTATATAATTTGCATATAAAATTCATTATCTTAAAGTAAACAGTTCAGGACATAAGGCAGAGATACTGAGCTTCATATGGTATTCTGTAGAATACCAATACTTCTTTTCTAAACGGAAACACAAACTTCCTATTCGAGAGTTAGAGTAGCAACTCCTTCCGCAGCTGGTGACGGGCCTAGAATGAACATCCTGTGAACCTTGCTTATCTCAACCCCTTCACAAGTTTGGAGAAGCAAGGAAGGGTTGGAAGCCTGGACCCAGAATATTACCTGCAATGTATCGGATCTCTGGCAAGCACATCATAAGATCAGGAAAGCGGTTTGGCTGATGTGTGTATTTATATTCAGTGAAATCCTGACAAATGTACCAATACCGCTTATTGAGCTGTTCCAGCTGTGAGGCACTGGTCAGACCCCTGATATCTGTGAAAAAAACAAAACAAAACAAAAATCACACAGGGAATGGGATGGTAAACACCAGTTTTTGCTTTTTTAATTGAGAAGTTATTAAACATGGTCATAACAGAGATGTTTTCTTCTGATGTGGAGAAACTAAGATTTGGATAAGGTAAATGAAATAAGATAGGAAAGAAGAGACACAGGAAAATGACAGTCCTTTGCCTGAGCCCTAAGTGCTAAGCTGGGTATCTTAACATCACATCAAGTCTTAATACAGGGTATGGTAGCACAAAACAGGCACCAGTGAATGTGCAACAAGTGGCTAATTCTTTATCCAACAAGATTTCATAGTGTCTTTGAAGCGGAGGTTATCAGAAATATTGGTAATATCTATAAATTCAGAAACCTGACATGTACCATCTCCAGTATCTATATATTCTTGCTATTCTATCTTGATTGTATGTATGTATGTATGTGTGTGTGTATGTATGACTCTATCTAAAGTACAGGAGATAAGGAGCTGGAGAAATGGCTTAGAGGTTAAGAGCACTGGCTACTCTTCCAGAGGTCCTGAGTTCAATTCTCAGCAACTACATGGTGGCTCACAACCATCTGTAATGAGATCTGGCCTTGGGACATAGAACACTGTATACATAATAAATAAATCTTAAAAGAAAATCCTGAAAAAAAAGTACAGGAGATGAATAAAGCACATTGTATGTACATCATACCCAGCTATTGAGGCCCAGTACACATCTCTCCTCCTCTCAGAAGTTGCTACTCATCTTCCCTACATGCAGTACAATTTGTGTATTGAGTGCTATTGGAGTGTACACTCTTCAGGGACCTGGGGGCTGGTCTGTTTTTTTTTTTTTTCCTCCTCCCCCACAACCCTGCCAATGTTTCTCATATACGGTACAAGGCTTGACTAGAGAAAGCATGTAGGTCACCTGATAAATGCATGATGTTATACAGACAGGAGTAGGAGATCCACCCAGTTACTGGAGGGTAGAGTGGGGAGTAGTGGCAAAAAAAGAAAGCCTGATCAAGAGTCTCTGGCCTGGAAAACTGAGCATAGTGAGACAGCACTTTCAAAGCTATAGGGAACAAAATCACTCAGGCCCATTCTGAGAATGGGACATTCAAATGCTACCTTTGATAAAAACAAAACAAAACAAAACAATTTTCCTTCATGGGCCAATTGCCAGCAACTACCACGTGCCACTTGTTGGTGATATGCCTATAAACCCACTGGACTCTTCAAATGGAAGAGGAGTCATGTGCACCACCACTCTTCTCTGGAGCATCAGAGTCACTGTCAGCCTGTCAACCATGGCCTTATCTCCAACAGTTTCATCAGTCACCCTGCTCTTCTTCAGTTGCTGGTAAAATTGGTACATATTTTAAATGACGCATGTTCTGTCCTTGGTGTCTCTGTTTAAATGCATTAAAACTGACTAAACAAAGCAAATCCTCTTCCTTCCTCTGTGAGTTATAGAGATTGTGGCATTTAGATTTCAAGAGAAAAATCCAAAGCACTCCTTACACTGTAGAAGAGCAGGGTGATGACTCCCTCTAGTCATCTCTCACCCTGTGTAGGCCTTCCAAGACTGATGGTCACGTGATGTAACAGACTCTGTAACAGTCCTGGAGATGGGAGGTGGGGATGGGAGAAATGGGGAGTGGTGTGTGTGTGTGTGTGTGTGTGTGTGTGTGTGTGTGTGTGTGTGTGTGTGTGTGACACAGAAGGGCAAATGCTTACTGGCAAAAACAAAAACATAAAACAAAGCTGCTGCCCTCACCTCACCACCTACTCACCTTGATTTAGGAAGTTAATTGCTTTCATGCATGCATATTCCTCATTGCTGACCTTCAGTTGATGGAACTTGTGGTATAGGTAGATAAGCCGTTCAATCACCTCCATTCCTTCATCACTAAATCTAGAGAACAGACACAGGTTTTTACCTGGGGTACTGATAGCAGCAAAGGCCAGAAAGGGCAGACAGAGATTATCTATGAAATTCCATGTGGGGGAAATGGAACCCACAGGAAATCCATGCTCTGTTTGGTAGCCAGTGTAGATTATGCAGATTGCTGTTTCCAGAGTCAGGCAGAGTCAAATAAAATCAGGTTCAAATCCAACTGCACCACACACAGCTGTGAAAATCGAGGAAGGTTATTTGATCCCTGTAAGCTTTGAGATCCCCCTCTGCAAAATGTTTGCCTGCTTATGCTAAGAGTGAAAGGAGATCTGGGATAGAAACCAAGAAAAATGTGACAATATTAAGATACAGCTTTTGTGGAGATGCAGTCTGCAGTATCAATGATAGCTGCCACTATGAGAACCTCAGCCACAGTGTGGGAAACACTTCCAGTTACATTTGTTTAGGTTCACTGTTTCTAACGAGACTAAGATTATATGCAATAAAATAATTTTAGTTGAATCTCTGACTTCAGTCCAAGGGGGAAGAAAACACTTGCTTAGTCTTTACATCACAAGAGCCTTTGTGTTGTTCATTCTCAACCCTATGAGCTGGGTGAAACAATCACTATCAACACAAGATGAGAAACTAAAGTTCAACATGGAGAGAGGACTGGCCCACCAACACATAGCTACATGGTGGGATGAGACCCTGGAGCCTGGACTAGCTTCCTGAGGCTTTTCCAGTATCTCAGGTGGTCTGCTTATGCAGAACAGACAGGCTGCTTAAACTATTTATACGTAACTTCTTTTCACCCGATGAATTCTTACATGACCCTAGGTATATAGGTAATAACATAGGTACACAAATCTAACACTAATAATAAACCATAGTGAAAGTCATCTTATTTGTACTCTTTTTATGTGTTGGTGTATGTGGCATACGAGTGTGTGTGTGCGAGTGCGTCTTTCACTACTGTTCTCCACCTTATCTTTGGGATTAACAATTTCTAATTGAATTTGAACTTCACTAATCTGGCTAAACTGGCTGGACAGCAAGCCCTGGGAATCTGCCTGTCTCTGTTCCCTTTCAGTGCTGCAGTTATAGACATTCCCAGATTTTTACATGGGCGCATGAACTTGGGGGTCCTCATACTTGCATAGCAAGAATTTACCAGTTCTAAGCCACCTCTCCAGTCCCAGTAAATTTACTTGAAGACAACTCTTCAGCATGTAATTTTACTATTGACTAAAAATAAAATCAACTTTGCATACTAATGGGACAGATATGCTTGTTATTCAATTAGATCCCAGTATTTGACACTGCAGTACACACAACAAAGTTTCTCAGAGTTAATTTTTTTGTTTGTTTGTTTGTTTTTTGAGACAGGGCTTCTCTGTGTAATAGCCCTAGCTATCCTGGAACTAGCTCTGCAAACCAGGCTGCCTCGAATTCACAGAGATCTGCCTGCCTCTACCTCCCAGGTGCTGGAATTAAAGGTGTGGGCCACCATGGCCTGGCTAATTTTTTTTTTTTTTTTTTTTTTGAGACAAAGGCTCACCATATATATCCTGACTGGCCCAGAACTCGATACATAAAACACACTGGCCTCAACCCAGAGATTTGATTGATTGTCTCTGCCTCCTGAAAGCAGGATTAAATGAATGTTCTATCACATCTGGCTTAATTGATATTTTGATCTTATAGCCATCAATGGTTTAATATGAAATGGCAGAAGTAGATTTAGGTTCATTTCAGAAATTGTAGAAAATTCTGTCCTAATCCCAAGTCAAATTCATTTAACAATTTTAAAATTAAATTCAAGGCAGAAACTCAAACAACATTTTTTTTTTTTTTTTAAATAGGGTCTCATGTTGACCAAGCTCATTTTGAGATAGCCTTCAACTCCCAATTCTTTTGAATCTATCTCCCAAATGCTGAAGTTTCAAGACATGTACCACCACACCTGGCAAAAATAAAATTTGACATAATCTGAAAATATGTAATTTGACACTTAAAATGAGGAATGATGACAGGATGGCACCCAAACTCTTTGTTTCCTGTAAGTAAACCATCAATGTTTCTATAAGAGCAAAAACTGCAGTGACATTGGACCTGAGCTAAGGTATCTCAGGCATGTGTAGCATTGCATGCACAATGCAAATGAGTGCTCAGAGCTGAGTGGCAGAGAAGCGTTCATCAATATATCCAAGGAGACACTGTGGGTGCACAGTGAGTTTGATTTTGAATGAATGTTTGCTTGTTGAAGGGTTAAAACTCTTTCAGTACTGACACTTGTTTTGTGCCTTCATACACAGTGTCATTCAAGGTTGTGACACATAGTTTAGGAAGCCGGGCTCTAGCAGAGAGAACCTAAATCTGGCCACAATTTCTACTTTGAGCTAGAAAATGAGAAGCCTGGGGATAGAGCATGTTTTAGGTAAACAGCCCCAGACATGCCACCAAAGCAAGGAGCACCTCAGTTTGCTGTGTGAGCTGCTGTGAACTGTAACAGCTAATTCAAGTTCCTCATTGTTCTAGCCCAATGGCTTTAATGACTTTATTAATACTTTCCAAGACTGTCTAATAAACAAATTCATATTGAGTTTGTCTAACACCCTTACCAACCATTCTACCCACGTTGAATGCTGGGCACTTTTAGTATTTTACATATATATAGCCTTATCCTAATTAAAAAGTTGATTAATCAAACTCTCCTTTGCCCATGTGTGTGGCAAGGCTTAGTGTGGCCAGTGACTGTGCTCCTGACATAAAAGGCTCTTTGGTATTCTTACTTTCCTGACAACTTGTGAGATGAACTATATACCTCTGTTTTAGGATGAGGAAGCAGAAAGAGGTGACTCTCTCAAAGTTACACAGTTAGAAAGAGGCAGGGCTTTTAAATTCCCACCATAGGGGCTTTCCCAGGGCTGTACTACCTACCCAAGCCCTGTCAAGTTCTTAAGTGCAACCTGGGAAAGGCTGCCACATGCTATCATGTGAAACCTTAAAAGCTTTGGGTTCCCACAGCAGCTCATCCCTAGGAGATGCTGGGTACTTCTGTGCCACTTGCATGAGTCTTTGAGGTTAAGACCATTCCTCACAAAAGTACTTGCTGACTACTTAAGTTGTTGAGAGAGAAAAGAGCTTCAATTCCCTGTAGTATCTGCATGGAGGGGTAGGGTGGGGATAGGCTGAGGTGGGGCATAGCAAAGAGAGCAGGGAGGATAGTGATCACATCTGTCTGGTGGTCAAGCAATGTGGCAAGCACAAGTAATGCTCTGTCCCTTAATCAGCAACTCCTTGCCCCAGAGCTTACTATGGCACGGCAGGACTTGCAGGTGTGTGGCTATCATCCAGACCCTGAGCTGGCAGTGCCAAATCTGTTCCTGGCTGTCTTGACCTGGGGGACACAAAGGAACTCTCAAGTGCTTGGGCCTATACATATGTCCAAGCTCTGCCCTTTTTCTTGGGGACAGCACACCCCTTCTCCAAATATCTTATAAGAAGCCGCCATCATAGTCCTTTGGCAGTGGTCCCCACTCAGTCTCCACAGCTTGGCTGCAAAGCTTTCCTCCACACCCGCATCCCACCCTTTGACAAACAAAGCTGTTCTCTGTTCGACAGGCCTGCTTTCTCCTCCAGCCGTTCCTCCTCCACATCTGCCCACTCCACAGTTCTGATGCCCCTGTATTCCCTGTCTACAAATTATCAGCATTCAAAGCCATAAAGCTGGACAAACATACCCATTCTTCTCTTAGGTTCCTATCACACAAGCATACTAGGACAAGGAAAACATTCCTGCTAGGATCCTCCAAACCATTGGACCATTCAGTCAGCAATTGAAGCTGACACTATGTAAGTTATATGCTAGTAAGGGGCAAAAAGGAACAGCTCTCAGTCCCATTCATCTAAATGTACCCTCAGCAGCAGTCATCAGGTACAGTCTTTACAGAACTGTCACCATGACATGCACATATAAGTCAGATTATAGCTCCAGGATACATTCTAGAAAGTCACTCCTTTCTAAGCATCTGGGATTAGGGTAATGGTGGAGATTTCTGGCTTTGGAACACAAAAGACCTGCGTAGGAATCTTAGCTCCATCTTTTTCTATCTTTGTAGCCCTGCATTTTCATCTCTCCGAAACTCAAGGTCCTTATATCTGAGTCTCATAGGATGGCAGCAAGGACTCAACAGTAATTTAAGTAAAACAATTATAAAAATTGGTGTAACATATCCTGTTGACCATTATACATTCACAGTATTACTATCAGTCATTCTCCTGTAATAGGGAGCAAGAAGACTGTTTCCTGAGCCTGAGAACTAGTCAAAAGTGCCCATTAAAGTCCACCTAACTCAAAGCATCTTCTCCAGGGAGTCAAAGGGCTGGGAGCAGGCCCCGGCTGGTGCTACAATCTGCTTTAAATCACATTTGTCCACCTCTGTGTCTGATAACAGTCTGACTAGGAGTAGGCACCATAAACTTGATTCAGTATTGAGAAGAGAAAAGGAGCTGGTCGTGCATCATCTGGGAAGCCTTTTTCTGACAGCGGGCACTCACACTCAGAAGCTGTAAGAAGCAAAGGCTGCCTGGGGGAGTGGGAGTAGTACAGCAAAGTAAGAAAGAGCTATGGCCAATTAAACACTACACCCTAGGCTTCTAGCAGAGAGGGGATGCTTGGCAGTGATTAACCTAACTCCAGAGGCTTAGCTTCCAGATCTTATTACCTACATGCAACTCAGACTCCACAGACACCCAAGCCAAATACAGGGTATCTTATCTCCCATATGTTCTTCCTTGATACTTTACCTTAGCTAAAATAACCTGTGCCCACCTGCCCAGCAACTACCACAACTTTCCTTATTCAGTAGCTCTGCTGACTCCATATCCTTGACACCGCTAGCTTGATGTTGCCCTCTCTTCCCGTGGCACTGCTCTGTCATCCAGGCCTTCTTTTCTTTCCCACGGACACAGAGCAAGCCCCTGTTCAACCCTGCTCTAGTCTTGACCACACCAAACAGCCACAGAACACTTTCTCAAATGTTACTCACCCAAGTAATTCCTGTGATGCAATGCTACCAAGAAAATAGTGTCTTTTCTCTTTATTTTTTTTGTTTTGTTTTGATTTTTAGGCAGGATCTCACTGTGTATGCCATGCTATCCAGGAAGGGGCTCTATAGACCAGGCTAGCCTAGAACTCAGAGATTATCTGCCTCTGCCCAGTTCTGGGACTAAAAGTCCCAGCTCTTCTAGGGTCTTTCTGTATAGCAGTAAAATTTGCTCTGTAGACCAGACTGACTTCTCCTGCCTTCACCTTGCTCTCTATACTGTACTAAGAAAATTCTCACTTCAAAATGCAGCTCAAATGTCTGTTCTTATGGTAAGCCAAGTATGCAAGTACAGCCTTCATTTCTTAGTCTGGTTTGAATAGTCTTTACATCCTCCCTCCTCAGTCTCCTTCAATCAACTTTACATTATAGATTGTATCTGTTACTATACAATGAGAATTGGGACTCTAAGGGTCAGAAACCATGTCTAAACTGGGTGTAGTAGTACATAGCTATTACTGAAGCTACTCAGAAGACCAAAGCAGGAGGATTCTAAGTTTGAAGCTTGTCTAAGAAACTTAGTGAAATCTAAATCTAAATCTCAAAATAAGTGAAAAATGCTTAGGGATGTTATCTTTTGTTGTTGTTGTTGTTGTTTGTTTGTTTTTTAAGACAGGGTTTCTCTGTGTAGCCCTGGCTATTCTCAAACTCATAGTGATCCACCTGCCTCTGCCTCCTGAGTGCTGAGATTAAAGGTGTGAACCACCACTACCCTAGGGATGCTATCTTAATGGTAGAGTACTTACTTATGTAGCATGTGCAAGGCCTTGGGTTTAAATCTCTGGAACCATAAAGAAAGGAAGGGAAGGAAAGAGGAATGAAAGACAGAAACCTTATCTGCATGGTTTGTCTTCCTAGAATCCTTGCCCCCAACAACTACTAACATATTCAGTGCCTACAGAGGGCCCAGAAAACCTTCCATGCTGTAGGGAATGGAACTTAGAGGCTGATTCCACTGTTGTAACAAGTCGTCTATCCCAGGAAGAGCTTGTAGTTCTCAGAAAAACAGGGAGACTAGGCTCCCTGAGGACAAGTCTACAAACCAACAATACCACAGCAAGCTTACTGCTATCCAAACAGCCCTTCAATCCAAAGTTATAAGCTGGAGACAGAAAGTTGATGGAAACAATGAATTAGATACTACAGACAAGAGGTTAGGTCATCTGTAAAACTAGACAGCTCTGTCTATAGGTAGGTGCACCCTGAAGCCAGTAAGCAAGGAAATGCTAGAAAAGCAAAAGAGCAAGCCTATTCCCAGACTCCCACTCAGCTGTGCACAAGCTCCTGAAGGTCTTGAAGCTTTGCTCTTGCTTAAATGTTGGCCTTGTTTTTATGTAATACACAGGATGGTGTGACTGATGTACCCAAGTCCTGCGAAGAGTTAGAACTATCTCCTCCATACCTCATTTACCCTTGTTATGGGTAACTTTAAATTGTATGACTTCTATTATTTAAACTGTCCAAAAAAGGTGGTTTATTGAAATGTCTATTTAAATGTGAATTAAGCTACAAGACATTTCATATGAATAAATTAATAAACCAGAAAAATTATTGAAACAGATAATCGTCTTAATTGGGGGGGTCAGAAATTAAGGGTCCCATTTTCCCTAGGTCTTCAAAGAAAGTGAATAAAACAGTATGTGGACAGGTCTCTTAACTTCTCACCCCACCTCAGGAACCACAAAAGAGACTAAGCAGTCAGATGGAGCACACAGGTGGGGATGGGAATCGATGGGACAAGCTCAAGACTAGGCTCTAGATTAAAATCCAAAACCCTTAAGGACCAGGCTCTCTGAACATCAACTTTCTTATCAATATACAAACACAATTGTGTCTATGCTACCGTACATTATAAGAAAGAATCAGTAATATAAAGCTGACTACAAACGATAGCAAGGTAACTTCCAAGTCCAGAGTCGCTTCCCTTGGGGGCAGGTAGAGTTTAGATTTTTATTTTCCCCATATATATCATCCTACTAATGTAGACATAACACTGAAGCAACATCTTAGCACTCTGACAATCTGACTGATTATGACACATAATCATCATCCCTGCCTTGTTGGAGAGGTACCTACTCTATCTACTCAGAACCTGTGGTTTGGCCGATGACACAAAGCTAGTAAGTGACATAGTATGTGGGATTTAGTGCTCCCCGTTTGAAGACTAGGTAGCTGTGCTTCACAGGGAGGATAATGGCTTGGTTGCTCAGGATGTCCTCCCCAGTTACCAGCTCTCACCTGTGTAGTTCTTCATCAGAGGGTGAGTACTTGGCAGTGACATCAGCAAGCTCCCCAAAGATCTGCTTGCTATAAACTGTGAGGGATGAGAGCAGGATCAACTCCTGCCATGTAGAGCTCAAGAGGCACGTGTAATCCTTGATTGAGAGCTCACAGAAGAAAGGCAGCTTCTTGATCCAGGCAATCTGTCTAAAGAGCAACTCGTCGGCCAGGCGGCAAAGCAGAGCAAATAGCTCTGCTTGTGTCACAGCATATCTGGAGGTAGGCACAGGACAGAGTCACTTCAATCAGCAAAAGAGTGAGGGTAGGAGCAAAGGAGGAGGGTATTCCTTAAGGACACTTGTATGTCCTTAGCAGCAGACCCCTTGCCCTTGACCATGGATTTCCAGTTTCACTCAACATCTTATAAAGGGTAGAGCTGGGGCAAGCAAAAATCTGGGGTGAGGGTAGTGGGGCAGTGAGATGGTTTGCCGAGAAGAGGATGCTGAGGGGAATGGAGGTTTAGGAACTTCTGGAATTATGAAGGACTATCACTTTTTTTTTTTTTTTTTTTTTCCCGAGACAGGGTTTCTCTGTGTAGCTTTGGAGCCTATCCTGGCACTCGCTCTGGAGACCAGGCTGGCCTCGAACTCACAGAGATCCACATGCCTCTGCCTCCTGAGTGCTGGGATTAAAGGCGTGCGTCACCAATGCCCGGCAGGACTATCACTCTTAATGTTGGTGTTCTCTGATGTTTGATGTCTTGGAAGAAATTCTTACTCATTCCTGCTCTAGTTTTGGTAGTGAAAACTCTAATGCAGTGGGTCTAGAGCATACCCAGTATAAGGAACAGCAACCACACATGAAAGAAAACAAAAACAAAACCCAAAGCCAAACATGCCTCAGAGTCAGACTGCTGAACAAAACAGGCATTCAGAAGCCTTTCCTGTCCTCACTGTGCCCCCTGGTGGCAACAGCTCAGGAACCAGAGTGGTTCAGACTTTGTGAACAACTATTTCTCAGCTCTAGCCTAAAGGGGCCTCTGAGTCTCAGCTTTATTCCTCTCAAGATCCCTACTTCCCTTGTCACCCTCTTCCTCATACCCTCCATAAAAGCTTTGTGGGATCCTTTCTGTATGTATTTAAGTTTACTCTTCTGAAACTGGAGCCTAGTTGAGGATCTCAGGTCACCTTCTAGGAGGCCTAAGATTAAAGACTCTAGCGACCCATGTTCTTTACCTAAGAAGTAATGGGTGCAAGAATAGGTGGCCCAGATGCTGAACTAGGTAACACTCAAATAGAGCCAAATGCAGACTGTGGTATCTCTTCCAGACATTTAGGCCTGCACCAAAGGCTGCTAGTCACATGCCATGGGCATGTTGGCTACAGATATAGATAGGTCACAACCAGTTAGGATTGCCAGGCATGATACTGAACGCCTTTAATCCCAGCACTCAGGAGGCAGAGGCAGGCATCTCAATGAGTTCAAGCCAGCCTGGTTTACAAATTAAGTTCCAGAGCAGCCAGAGCAGTTACACAGAGAAGTTCTGTCTTGAAAAACAAACAAACAAACAAACAAACAAAAAACCAAAAACCAAAAAAACCAATTAGGGCTTGAATTATTTAAAAACCTTAGGCATGATGTGGAACGTATTTCTGGCACAAAGGCAACCATTTCAGGGCTTGGTATACCCATAAAGAAATGAAGGCCTTCAATCCAAATTTCATAGGGACTGAAAAGTAACCTGAGCTCTCTGAGAAAAGATGCTTAAGGAAACAAGAGGGACCAATCCCTTCAATGACAAAGCTGTGTATACATCTGGTGCATGGTAGGGGTACTTTGAGACTTCTAGGGGGCCAAGCAGGACAGAATTCACTCACCCATCTTCAATCAACATGGGTGTGCCCAATGGTTCCAGGTCTTCTGCTGATATCAGCTGGTGAATCAGACTGTAGGACTGAGGGTCCAGGCTTCGAGCTTGTGGGGGCAGAAGTGGTGAGTGTCCAGAATAGCTAAAAAGGTGTGGTATGTACTGATAATGTGGAGGCACTGACATGCCCATGTACTGATCCCTGAACGTCATGAATCCATTTAGTTCCACAGACCTATTGGAGAGAAAAACTTCACATCAGGAAAAGTCATGGCAGGTTAAGCACCTGCTCAAAGGAGTAAGTCAGGAGATGGCTGAGGTGGTCTCTGGTCACGAAATCTGTGACTAATCAAGCCATGGAACAAAATTAATGGTTTCATGCACATCTACCTTATTACATTCCATCTGTGAGACAAGGACTCTGTGTGGGTATAGAAACATGGGGCTCAACACTGGCAAACTCAGTGAATCTGAAGAGGAAGGCATATTCTTCCCTGTTTTGGAAAAATCTAACCATTTTCTCAATTAACTGAAAAAAGTATCTATGTATTCGCATTTATATGTATTTGTAAGAGTGCATGAGTGAGTGAATTTCACAATGAATGTGTGGGATTGAGAGGACAACTACTGGGAGTTAGCATCTTCCACTTTGTGGATCCTGGGTTGTCTGAGGTAGTTGGGCTTGGCAGCAGGTGCCTTTACCTGATAAACCATCTCACCAGCCCATTATTTAGTTTTTTCTAGATACATCTTCTATAACTGAGTTTGGCAAACTACAGCCTATAGGGAAGATCTAGCCTATGACCTATTTTCGGTAAATTAAGTTTTATTAGAACAAAGTCACACTCCTTGCTTTACATATGGTGTGTACTGCTTTTGAGGCACAAAGGCAGAGCTGGGGAGCTGGGACCCAGGCCAGGATTAGAAAGAGTTACTATATGACCTTTTATTTGTTTATTTGGAGACAGGTTCTGTATGTAGTCCTGCCTGTCCTGGAATGACCCTTTTTAAAAAGAGAATTTCTTTCTTTTACCATTTGCATATGTGCTTTGCACGTGTGTATAGGCCTGAGGTTGACATCAAGTGTCTTTTTCAATGGCTCTCTACCTTATGCTTTTGAGATAGGGTGTCTAACAGGACTTGGGGCACACCAATTCAACAAAATTATCTGGCAAGTAAGCCCCAGTGGCCAGTCTCCCTAGTGCTAGGAGGAGACACAATCTATATATTTCTCACTGCATATGTCTTTTATGTGGGTGCTGGAGATCGAACCTAGGGCTCATGATTGCAGAGCCAGCACTTTACCGAATGAACTATCTCCACAGGCACTACTCTGTGACATTTTATTTTTATTTATTTTATTCTTTTAAAGACTTATTTATTTGAGGGCTGGAGAGATGGCTCAGAGGTTAAAGCACTGACTGCTCTTCCAGAGGTCCTGAGTTCAATTCCCAGCAACCACATGGTGGCTCACAACCATCCGTTATGAGATCTGGTGCCCTCTTCTGGTGTGCAGATGTATATGGAAGCAGAATCTTGTATACATAATATATAAATAAAATCTTTTAAAAACAGATTTATTTATGTATATGAGTACTCTGTCTGCATGTTTGGCTGTATGTCAGAAGAGGTCATCAGACCCTATTACAGATGGTTGTGAGCTAACATATGGGTGCTGGGAGTTGAACTCAGGACCTGTGGAAGTGAACTCAGGACCTGTGGAAGTTTAGCCAGTGCTCTTAACTGCTGAGGCATCTTTCCAACCCCCTACCAGATGTGAAATTTCAAGAAAATACTTAGCCGGGCGTTGGTGGCGCACGCGTTTAGTCCCAGCACTCGGGAGGCAGAGGCAGGCAGATCTCTGTGAGTTCGAGACCAGCCTGGTCTACAAGAACTAGTTCCAGGACAGCCTCCAAAGCCACAGAGAAACCCTGTCTCAAAAATACCAAGAAAGAAAAAAAAAAAGAAAATACTTGTTAATTTTTGTCCTATATGAAAGATTTCTGGGGTGAGGACCCCTTCCATTGTAGCTAAAAGCTTTACTTACAGCTATTAGCTAACTTAAGAAAGCATGATTGCCTCAAAAGGCTTTAATCTTGAATTCCCCATAACACTGATTCTGGTGAGTCAGAAAAACTGTTAACTCAGTCTGCAGTCAGTGTACTGAAATGTTATTCTGCTAAATGAAACCTATGTAAATATGCACAGATGGGGCACTTATAAGTCTGCAAAAGACATGGCTTGGAAAACTGGCCTGTGCCATCCTGGTCTCCAAGATTCTGAAAGACCAAGGGCACAAAGGCTGAGACAGCCTGGTAGAGGAGTACTCTACCAGAAGTTCTTTCGAGGTCTACTTGCTGGATGGTTGGTCCCTAGGTGATGATACTGGGTTTGCCTTTAGCTCACCTGGATGACAGTGTGGAGCCTGGTGAGGGCTGGTTGCTCTCTGAAGCCCTGTTCCCAGGGGAACTGTGGTCGCTGTCACCATGGTTGCTCCAGTGATTGGCTTCTTCTTCAAACTCCTGTCCAGACATGATTCTTTCAATCTCTTCTTCTGATATCTTTGACAAGAAATGGACACGTTAGACCTAGTATTGTAGATAACTTCCCGTTCTCTCTATAGGCCTAAGAGTTTATACTTCAGGTCTCTCTTACTCTTTGGACTTCTTTGGATATGCTCAGTATATTTGGACACAATCTTTGGACACTTGCCTTCTAGAGCCATGACTTTACCCTTGCCCATTTATCCTACCTTCAAGGCACAAAGTCTATGACTTTTGTCCTTGAGTCTTCACTTTCCTAACTAAAACTCATTCTTCAGTGGCAATTTCCTACTTGCACTAACCAATACTGAATGTTACCTCCTTTATAAAATTATCTGTCATTATTTATTATTCATAATTATGTGGATTCTGAGACAGGAAGGGCAGCATCCTAGTTAATGGTATAAATTCTGGAAGCAGACCACCTTTTTTCAAATTCAGACTATACCACTTCTAGCACAAACTTGGCAAAGTTACTGAATGACCTCAAGTGAAGTACCTCCATCTGTTTGGTAGACAGAACAAAATCCCGATCTCATTGGATTCTTGTGAGGATTAACCAAATCAGATACTCTTCCTAGGAATCTAGCAAGAGGAACAATTACAGAAGCTCTGAGAGTTACAATATCAACATCTTTGGGTTGCTTTGTTTGAGACAGGGTATTGTTAGAGTGCCCAGGCTAGTCTGAAATTCCTAGGTTCAAGCAGTACTTCTGCTTCAGTCTTCCAAGTAGCAGAGACTGTAGGCCTGTCCCACCAAACTGGGCTGTCATTGTTACAGAACATCACTAAAACAGCCTCTGTAACAGCTAAGACCATGATAGGACTCAAAGAAGTAGTATGTATAAATGGATATTGAGTAAGTTGTGTTCATTTGTTAAGGAATGACATGTACTTTCACATGGATTTTTCTTTTTAAAAAGAAAGGTATCACCTAGTCTATTAAATAAAACTTAAATCACAGCTCCTGAGTCATACTGTGTGTACCTAGATGTGGTCAGGGGTATGAGGAAGAAACAGAAATATGCTACTACTCAGTCCACTACTCTATAGAGAGCAAATAATCTTTTATACAATTTCTAACATAGGGCTGATGCCTAACTGGTCCAGGTCAATACAGAACTGACAGAATAAGTGCTAAGGAGGGGGGGCCAGAGAAAATTTTATGTTGGTTTCTATGGAAACGGCAAAAGCCATTTTCTCCCAGGCCAGTTTGGCTCAAGCCTGCATATGTACCTGCTCTAGTGGCCTCTAAGAAAACCCAGCACTGTCATGGTCACAAACAAAAGCTTTCAGAATACAACACTACAGGAACAGTGAGATGGCTTAGCAGGTAAATGTGCTTCCCACACCATCCTGAAGACCTAAGCTCAACCCCTGGAACTCATATAAATATACAAGGAGAGAAAAGACGTCTCCAACAATGAACTATGGCACTTGTGTGCCTGCACACACATCACATATGTGAGCATGTAAGGATACACATGTATAAACATATACACAACAGTAATAGTTTTAAAAATTAATATATTTACTCTTCTCTCATATATGACATCCTGACTGAAGTTCCCCTACCTCCACTTCTCCCTGTAATAATAAAGGTTTTTTGTTTTCTATTGCTGTGAATAGTCACCATGACCACAGCAACAATTTTTTCTTATTAATTTATTTTTAACATTCCAATCCCAATTCCCATTTCCTCCTCACTCCCCCTACCCCCCAATTCCACCCTCTTGTTTTTTTGCTTTTTTCCCCAAAAAAGAACTGAATGTTGGGGCTGGAGAGATGGCTCAGAGGTTAAGAGCACTGGCTGTTCTTCCAGAGGTCCTGAGTTCAATTTCCAGCAACCACATGGTGCCCTCTTCTGGTGTGCAGATATACTTGGAAGCAGAATGCTGTATACATAATAAATAAATAAAATCTTTAAAAAAAAAAAAGAACTGAATGTAAATGAGAATGTGGCAAGGAGGATGTAACTTAGAGATAAACAAAGGAGTTTGTCTGCAATTGTTTGATGTAGACATTGAAATGGAGTAATTGTTTTTAAAATTAAGTCATATATACCTAAAAAACAATTACTCCATCCAGCCTTTCTCTTAATGGTCCTAAGAACTCTGAAATCATTGAAGCCTGAGTGCTGACAGCCAGAATAGTGTTTGAAAGGCATGGAACAGAGAGACTTGGGCTGGGTGAAAAGAGCCAACCCATGAAGGCAGCTTACTCCAGCTGGGAGTTGTGACTGCTTTTTCTTGTTGTCCCCATCAGACGGGGCAATCACTGATACACTGACAACACAGAAGACAGAACTTGTTGGGAATGATTAACCTGGGTTCTAATATAATTTGGGATTTCCTAGCTAGATGATCCTGGGAAAGGCAAGTCACCAGAGCCCTCTGTGCTTCAGCTTTTCTGCCTGCCAACAGGCAATATTATTCCATTGTAGCTCAGGGCTATCCCATCAGAGCTAGAGCAGAGAAATACACAGGTCAAAGCCAGACAGACTTGGTCATTAACACAAGATAAAGTTATAAAATACAGACACAGAGCCGGGTGGTAGTGGCGCACGCCTTTAATCCCAGCACTTGGGAGGCAGAGGCAAGCGGATCTCTGTGAGTTCGAGACCAGCCTGGTCTACAAGATCTAGCTAGTTCCAGGACAGCCTCCAAAGCCACAGGAAAACCCTGTCTCGAAAAACCAAAAAAAAAAAAAAAACCTGACACAGAATAGATGCTTAATAAATGGAAATTCCACCTCTCCTTGTTTTTATTAAGACTAGCCAAACACATCTGAGTGGTGGTGGTGGTGCATGCCTTTAACCCTGGCACTCAGGAGGCAGAGGCCGGCAGATCTTCGTGAGTTCAAGGTCAGCTTGGTCTACAACTTGAGTTCCAGGACAGCCAGGGCTATTATACAGAGAAATCCACCACAACTGATAACTTACAGATCACAACTCTTACACACCACCCATAATTATTAGAAAACCAAAATAATATAATTAGTATAAAGACTCAAACATAAACTGGTTAGTGACGTTGGATGCCTTTAATCCCAGCACTTGGGAGGTAGAGGCAGAACCATCTGAGTTAGAAGCCAGCCTGGTCTACAGAGCCAGGGCTACACAGAGAAACCCTGTCTCAAACAAACAAACAAACAAACACCCCCAAAACAACAACAAATAAGAAAAACAAAACCAACCAACCAACAAGAAAAAACCTCAAACATAGTAACAGTCACTGAAATGGCTTCTCTAAGCACTGGTGTCTTCAGTTCTAAAAGGACATCTTACAGCTGTGGGACCTGAGCATCTCCTGGCAGAGCAGAAGTCTTACAGGGCACTAAGAATGCATTAGGTGCTATCAGAGCAGTGGTTCTCAACCTTCCTAAATGCTGCAACCCTTTAATATAGTTTTTCATGTTGTGATGACCCCCACCAAAAATTATTTGTTGCTACTTCATAGCTGTAATTTTGCTACTGTTAAGAATTGCAATATAAATATCTGTGTTTTCCCATGGTCTTAGGCAACTCCTGTGAAAAGGTTGTTTAAACCACTGTTCCAGATGATTTTTGTCTTAAATTGAGAAAATATTTAAGAATTTCCCTCAACAGATAATCTATTACACCAACATATGAAAAGAATGAACAAGGGTCAGATGTGAAAAACCCAAAGCTGGTGTCAGATGTTGAAAACGGAAAGACTTTCCTCTAAATTCAAGAGCAGGATAAAGGTGCCCACCTCAGTATTCTTATTCAAGAGAGTACTGAAAATTCCAGCCCAAGCAATTAATTAAGAAAAAGAAATGTGAGGCATCTAATCAGTCATGCAAGATGAAAAGAACTCTAGCTATCTTCTGGGCACGTAACTAAAGATACCTAAAAACTGAAAGAGCTCAGTGAGTAAAGTGTTGGCTGTGCCAGTGAGAGCGTCTGAGCTCAAATTAACAATGCCCATATAAAAGTCAGGCATAGTGATGCACACCTGTCTTAGTGCTGGGAGTGGGAAGACACAGGTACATTGCATGCTTGGGGCTCCGGCTAGTCAGTCTAGCAGCAATGGCAAGCTTGAGGGTTACTGAAAGACCTTGTCTCAAAAATAGGGCAGAAAACCAAATAAAGACATCCCGATACCAACCTTTGCCCTCCACAAGTGCCTACATGGATGACAGCACCCACTACATAAACACACACACACACACACACACACACACACCACCACCACCACCACCACCCCCACGCTGTTTTTAGTCCAGACTAAAATAAATTAGTTTTCAAGAGGAATAAAAATGCTTGATTAAACAAATCAAAACAGTAAAGTTTTACACACAACTATACATACCCTGATGCAGGAAATCTCTCATATATCAGTACATCTCTGAATTATTGTCTTTCATTTGTTTATACTTAACTGGAGAAATCCTTTTAATTTGTTGATGAACTCTCTCCTGGCTCTTTCTGCCTTCTGATCTGTGCTGTCATTATACTACTTCAAACTATTATCTGACTCTCTTCCAATAGGCTTCTGCAAACTCCTTTTAAAGCATTTCCATTAGACTATATATGACAGTCTCCCTATTTACAATTGTTTAGTGACTGCTTCTTGGTATACAGCAAAAATTTGTCAAACTGATCCTGGTTACACATGTACTTGGGGATTAATTTGAAGGGTGGGTCATAAAATAGATTCAGTTCTCTAGACTCAGGGGGCCCTTCTGCTTGCTAGTAAGAACAGGAGATATAGGTTGGCCCCATAAAGGCTTTACTTAGAAGCATGGTCAAAGACAGCTGAGGCCATGCTTTAGAGAACTGATTGAAATTCAAGGACTCTCTGCCTTATTTCTTCATGCTATTACATGTGCCTAGTGCTCCAGTTTCATTGAACTACCTCCTTGTGATTTTTTAAAGGATCTGTCTTTGGGATATTCCAGTCTATTCTGTCTAGCTTTGATAAATAATGCTTAGCTTATCAACACAGCTACCTCTTCCTTCCCCTTCAAGGATCAATTCAAAAGCACCTTAAGGAACCTTTTCCTGAGTGTCTCCAACCTCTAAAAAAGAACATAAGCATCCCTGGACATCTTCTGATAGCTCTCAGTGTACTGTGATGTCTATTTATTATCTGTCTCTCTCATTAAACTGAGCCCACAGTATATAGACCAGCAGAGGAGGAATTTGGTAAATACCTATGGGATGGAGTGGAGTGGAAATACTACTATTCCTACTTTAATAATAATAAGATGAACAACAGCCAAGGGGTTGTGGCACACACTTTAATCCTAGCACTGGGGAGACAGAAGCAGGCAGATTTCTGTAAGTTAAAGGATAGCCTGGTATACAAAGCAAGTTCTGGGACAGCCATAGATGTTACAGAGAAACCCTGTCTTGAAAAAACAAAATAAGAGAGGAATGTGAGCTATTGATTTTTGCCAGACTAAGCTACCTATAACTTTAAGTGGTTGGTCAAATGGGAAAAAAATAATTCTCTGGATGGTTTAGAACCCAAAGTGAATTCAAATACCTGTGAAAATCTTACAAAAGATTCAGGGACCGTAAGAGCTTTGAACTTTAAACATTCAGACTCTAAACAGGAGTGGAAGCCAAAATGGCAGAAGAGGGGCTCAAAGTGAACAGCTACAGGAGCATTTGGAGCACCAGGCTTCCAGAACACACTAAGAGAGTGGGGATAAGAACTCACCTGCACTGGCCCAATGCTCTTATTCCGGCCTCCAGGCATGCCATCTTCTCTGATAGCTAGAAGGAAACATAAGAGAGTCAGAAGCACACTCACAGTCATTTAAAAACAAAAGGGAAACTTACCTGTCCCAGCACTAGGAAGGCAGATGTAGGCTGATCTATGTGCATTTGAGGCTAGTCTGGTTTGTGAGTTCCAGTCAGAGTCACATAGTGAGACCCCATCTCAAAACACACACACACACACACACATACACACACATACACACACACACACACACACACACACACACACACACACACATTAACTGCCTAAAAGTATAGTGTAGTAAGTGGTGAAGTCAAGACTAAACACAGGTCTTCTGGACTCATAGTGCACTTTATCACTGTAAGTTGCCCATAAGCAGCAGATACTTTTGGGTTCTCAAGGCACTGGATATACACTGCATATACTGTACACATTCAAGATGTTCAACGTGGTCAACAAGTTCCAGTTGCAAATATCCCACCAGATATTTGTACCTCAAGCTGTGGGCCATTTTAGTTGGGGAGTGAACACTTGCATTTTAAAATAAAATATATCTTATTTTTCTGCCTAAGTTTAATTAGGAATCAGAACAGCACTCTACTATCTAGGTGGATGCCCAACTCTGGAGAACATGGCTTTTGACATTTAGTTTTTATTAATTGGAATGTTCACCTCACTCATTCCTCCTTACAAAAGCAGGAAGTTGAAGCTGAAGGAACTTACTTAGTATTTGCTTGTTTAATATGTGAGTATCTCACTTACATGTGTGTACCTATGTGTGGCTGGTGCCCAAGGTCAGAGAGGGTGTCAGAGCCAAGGAACCAGAGTTAATGATGGTTGTGATTCACCCTGTGGGTCCTGGGAGCCATCCAGGTCCTCTTCAGGAGCAGCAAATGCTCTTAACCACCAAGTTATTTATCCAGTCTCCAAAGACACTTAGGTGGGGGTTTGTATACATATGGGTGTTTTACCTTCATGTATGTCTGTCTATGTGTACCTGATGCTTAGAGGCCAGTAGAGGGTGCTGGATACCCTGGGACCAGAGTTTAGAAAACTGTAAGCTGCCAAAAGAGAACTCAACACTGCACTTAGAAATCATGTTTTTATTGTTTTCTCCAATTTTTCTTCATGACCTGACACTTTCCAGTAGTATTTCCTACAATGTTAGTTATTTTGAAAAATGAACTTCCAGCTGTAGGTGGTAGTGTATTTCTTTAATCTCAACACTCTAGAGTCAGAGGCAGGCTGATTGATCTCTGTGAATTCTAGGCTAGCCTAGTCTATAGAATTAGTTCTAGGATAGCCAGGACTACACAAAAAAACCCTATCTGGAAAAATAAAAGACAGAAAAAAAGAATTTTAAAGAAAAAGAAAAATGTACTTCAATATGGGCTCCTAAGTTTCCTCATAAGTATTCTGATGATGAACTTCATGCTCATTCTGTCTCTTTCTCTCTCTTAGGATCTGTTTTTCTGTCTCTTCCTAGACTCTCATCTCTGTGTGTGCCCAAGCTTTTCTCAGCATTATCTTACCAGAGAAAATCGTGCTGGTATGTTTACTGGTGATACTAACTATGTTGGATAGTTTTAGTTGACACAAGGTAAAGTCACAAGCTAAGAGTCACACAGGTGGTACTAGTTTTGAAGGAATGAAGGGGTTATGAAGAACAGCTGAAGCTTGGTACTGTGAGAGTCCAGGAGAGGCCATTGATCAAGGTGCAATTTCAAAAGCAGTTGAAGGCAGGATTGAAAAGGCCATGCACAGAAGTTGAGGTTTGGCATCATGAAGAGTCTATTGGTGAAAAGTGCGGCCCACCTGCACCAGAAGACTCCACCGTTTGAGATGCCAGTACCATGGGACCACCAAGAACAGCAGCAGCAGTGGAGTGGAGCCTGCCTGAACTTGGAAGACAAGCTGTGTGTGCTGTAGAGGACTGAGCTAGAAAAGTGACCCGAACCCTTTGAAAGAACCCAGAAGAGCATGAGTGGATCTCAGACATTAAAGGTTTTGCTATTTACACTCTTAGGAGTTCGGTTTTGCTTTGATCTGATTATGACTAGGCCCTGGTTCTTCCCTCTAGAAGTAAGAAAGTATTTAAGCTAATTTTGATTTTTATAGGTGCCCAGAGCTTTAAGACTTTGAACTTTTAAAAGAGATTATGGGTTTTTAGAGATTGGTTATTTTTTTTTAAGATTTTATTTATTTATTATGTATACAAAATTCTGCTTCCATGTATATCTGCACACCAGAAGAGGGCACAAGATCTCATAACAGATGGTTGTGAGCCACCATGTGGTTGCTGGGAACCAAACTCAGGACCTCTGGAAGAGCAGTCAGTGCTCTTAACCTCTGAGCCATCTTTCCAGCCGGAGATTGGTTATTTTAGAGAGACTGAAATGTTAATCTATTTGAATCTGTAGAGACTGTGGAACTTTTAAAATTATTTATGTATTTTTGTTTCATTTTTCAAGACAAGGTTTCTTTGTGTAGCTCTGGCTGTCCTGGAACTCATTCTGTATAGACTGGCCTCAAATAGAGATCCTCCTGCCTCTGCCTCCCTGCTTAATCCCACTGGGTGTTGTGGCGCTGTTTATGTTGTTAATGTGAGAAGTTCAGGATGAATGAGAAAGGAAAGGTGTGTTTGTGTGGCAACTTGACAAGGGGTCAATTGTGCTGGCTAGTCTTATGTTAACTTTACACAAGTTAAAGTCATCTGACAGGAGAGAATCTCAACTGAGAAGATGCCTCCATAGGATCAGGCTGTAGGCAAGCCTGTAAAGCATTTTTCTTAATCAGTGATTGAGGGGGAGGCCCCAGCCATGTGGATGATAAGACCCCTGGGTTGGTGGGCCTGGGTTCCATAATAAAGTAGGCTGAGCAAGCCAGTAAGCAGCACTCCTCCATAGCCTCTACAACAGCTCCTGGCTCCAGGCTCCTGCCCTAACTTTCTTCAATTATAAACAGTAATATGGAAGTGTAAGAAAAATAAATCTTTTCTTTCCCAATTTACCTTTTGGTCATGGAGTTTCACTGCAACAATAAAAACCCTAAGACACAAACCTCCATCACATTCTGACTAAAGTAAATTCTCTATAAATACAATTTCCCCTTTGAAGTTATTATTTTTAAACTTCACTTTCATTTAAACCAGTGTTCATTTCTGCTGCACTTCCTTCAGTGAGTCTTGGCTGCAAGTCAGTGCTAGGGTGCTGTGTGTCTGGCAGCAACTTGTATTTTCATCAGTCTTCTCCACTTACTCACTAGGATTCTTTCATAGGAAAAACGGGTGATGCAAAAGCAGTGCTTTTTAGTAGTAGCTTGCAGAAACTATTATAAAAAGTTACTCTGGAAAGAGCACCTGTGTCACAGACAGCATCCACTGCCATTTCTCGATGGTAGACACCCCACTACTACATGGACTCAGCCACATCTGCACCTCCAACTGGAGAAGCGTTCACTGGACCTCAAGGTAGCCCCACCTGTACCTTAAGGAGTGACCACCTGAGCATTGTGCCCACTTCCACCAGGAGGAAAGTTCACCAGAAGCTCTGATCTACTTGTGCCTGAAGGAGCAGTCAACAGGGCCACAGCCCTGCAACTACACAAACTGGACAAAGAGAGAACTGCTGAAGCACAAGTTGCACCTATACCGATTAGAGGAAGAGATGTATAGACAACAAGGTAAGAACACACTCAACAATATGAAGAGCAATACGGCACCACTAGAAACTAGTAGTGCTACAACAGCAAGACCTGAGCAGCCCAACACAGATGAAGTAGAAGAAAATGACGCTAAAAAATAACTTTCTGAGGATGATTGAGGTCCTTAAAGAGGAAATGAAAATTTCTCTTAAAGAAATGGAGGAAAAGACAAAACAAAAAGTTGGAAGACATCAACAAATCTCTTAAAGAAAACCAAGAAAAAGCAATCAAACAACTGAAGGAAACAAAGACATGAAATCTGAAATAGAGGCAATAAATAAAGAAAACACAAACTGAGGGAATTCTGGAAATGGAAAATCTGGGTAAACAATCAGGAACCACAAATGCAAGCATAAACAACAGAATACAAGAGAGGGAAGACAGAATTTCAGGCATTGAAGATAACTTGGAGGAAATAGACTCATCGGTCAAAGAAAATTTTAAATCCAACAAATCCTTAACACAAAACATGCAGGATATGTGAGACACAATGAAAAGACTGAAACTAAGAATGATAGGGATAGATGAAGGAGAAGTCCCACTCAAAGACACAGAAAATATATTCAACAAAATCATAGAAGAAAATTTCCCCAACCTAAAGAAAGACATGCCTATGAAAGTACAAGAGGCCTGCAGAACACCACATAGCCTGGACTCCCCCCAAAAAGTCCCCTCCACACATAATAATCAAAACAATAAACATACAGAATAAAGAAAGAATAGTAAGAGCTACAAAGGAGAAAGGCCAGGTAACATATAAAGGCAGACCTATCAGAATTACACCTGACTTCTCAACAGCAACAATGAAAGTCAGAAGGTCCTGGTCAGGAGTTATGTAGACACTAAGGGGCCATGGATGCCAGCCCAGATTACTTTACCCAGCAAAGCTTTCAATAACCGTAGATGAGAAAACAAGATATTCCACGATAAAACCAAATTTAAACAATACCTATCCACAAACCCAGCCCTACAGAAAGTATTAGAAGAAAAACACCAACCCAAGGAAATCACCTTCGTCCACAAGAACACAGGAAATAGATGAGCTTACAGCAGCAAACCCCAAAGAAGAGAATTGAAGATACAATGTCATCACCACCAACAAAAACAAAAATAACAGGAACTAGCAATCACTAGTCATTAATATCCATTAATATAAATGGTCTCAATTCACCTATAAAAAGACACAAGCTAACAGATTGGATACAAACAGAATCCATCCTTCTGCTGCATACAAGAAACACACCTCAAACTCACAGACAGACATTACCTCAGAGTAAAAGGGTTGGGAAAAGATTTTCCAATCAAATGGACCTAAGAAACAAGCTGGTGT